CGGCGGTGCATTACGGCCATGGCCGAAGCGGTGGACTTCCCAGCGGTGGCCATGGGGACGCTCAGCTCGCTCTACCGTCGGACCGTTGGCATTCTGTTCGTGCAGGAACAATTTCACGAGGAGGTGGCACAGGCATCGGGAGTTTGACAGGGCTGCCCCCAGTCACCAGTGCTCTCCACGCTTGCTTCAGACAGTCTCTTGCGAATCTTAAAACTCAGACACCGTGCAACGAGGCCCTGCTCCGACGACGTCGCGACTGTACTGCGCCTATGGCGCTGAGAACACCGATGTGTGTTTGCCACGTTCAAGGTCTTCGAGGCCGTGTGCAACCTTATTTTGAACCTGGCCAAAGCAGTGGTCCTGCCGCTCTGGGGCGCAGATGCCGCCCAACTTTAGCAGAGCACGGCGGCGCAACTGACGGCAATCCGAATCATTTGGGCAAGAACGGGCAAACTCCTGGGATTTCGCACCGGACCAGGCAGAGATACCAAATCTTGGGACAAACCGCTGGCGAAGTTTGAGGCACGGATTCGTGAATGGCACGGCGTGCACCTGGCTATCACAACCTGCAATATTTCCGTGTTGCTGGTCCTCCTTGATGTGGCTCAACTGGGAGCGCCGCCGCCGGCGGTCTTGGATCGAGAGGCGGAAGCTGTTCGACGGGTGGGCCCAGGCCTTGGGAATCGGAGTGGGCCTGCATCATGCGACAGAGCAAGGCTTGTCTACTCGGCTGCGGCCTTTGTGCGGCGTGTGTCAGGCGGCAATGTTACGAATGCGCGGATGGGAAGCTCACGGGGCAGGAGGCATTCTTTGGGAGCTACTGGCCACGAATCTTTCAGAGGCTTTGAACAACATGGGCCGCGCGGGTATTCGCGCTCGATGGCTTCACTGGTTCGAGCGATGCGTCCCCGCTGCGGCCAGGGATCTCGCTCGGGGCCAGGCTGCAGCCGCCGCGCGTATTCGAGCTGCCCGTGAGGCATTTGGCAGTTCGGCTACGTGCCCTCCGACGAAGCATGGCGCGACCGCTTCAAGAAAGGCGCGCGACGCTGGTTTATGACACGCTTGCTGGGCCAAGACAGTTGCACTGTAGATTGGCGTTTGCGCGCTCGCCTGGCACGCTGGGGTCTTCCCAAGCATCCGGACAGAGGAGCTTGACGCTTGGCGCGACAACTGTTGTGGCTCAGACGGCTGAGGCTGGTGCCGCCCAGATTGTGCGCAGGGTCTTCCAGTGCTGAACATATGGGCGACCGATCGCTGCGCGCGCAGGCTGTGTGGGCAGCTGGGCCCCTGCGTCTTCGGATGCGGCGCGACGGCGGTCGATTCGGTGGAGCATTATTGCCGGCGCAGAATCTTACGAGCGTGACGCGACGGTGCCGACTAGGCCGGGCCATCGCACAGCATGGGCTGCCGCACAGCGTGCTTGGCGTCTCGATGGACGACGCGACTCTTGTGCTGTCGGCTGTGCTTATTTACGTTCTTTACCGAATGACCACTTGCGGCATCTGCCTGGGCAGCTAGCGGCGAACCGCCCGCACTTCGCGCAACGCTACATTGGCTAGATTCTGCGCGAAGCATGCCGCGGATGTGCCCGTTGTGGGCGCGCCTGCCAGATGCCCCGGGCGGTTTCCTGATTGCGCCGGCCACGGGGGGCGCAGCCTGCTGCTGGGCGCCAGGTCCGACGACGGCTGCGGTGACCCAGGTTGCCGCCGCCCAGCGTTGTCTCTTTCTACCTCGCCTGCCTCCGCATCTTCCCCCCATGAATTCGCAGATGAATGCGACGTTCCAGAACGATTCCCGGGATTCTCCATGGCACTTGCATTTGGGCGCGGCGACGTCCCGCGCCTACATGTTACGTGTTCAACGTGTTTGGCTCTGGTTCACGGACTCCCGCATCTCCCAGCTCGCCGTTTCCCGAGCCGACCAGGTCGCCGACCTCTGCGTCGACTTGGTCGTCGATCCCCGCGCCGCCCAGCTTGCCGACTCTGGCGCCGACCAGCTCGCCGACCCCCGCGCCGACCAGCTCGCCGACTGCCGCGCCGACCAGCTCACGGGCAGGAAGAGGGGGGGGATGGCAGATATGATAATTCGGAGGCGAAGAAGAGGCAGATGGAGGAGACGGATGAGACGGCCGATCCACGCGCCGATCAGCTCGCCGACCCCCGCGCCGATTAGCTGACTGACTGCCGCGCCGGCCAGCTCGCCGACTCCCGTGCCTGCCGGCGCGCCGACTCCCGCGTTGACTTACCAGTTCACCGACCCCCGCGTCGGCCAGCTCGCTGATTCTCGCACTGACCAGCTCGCCGACTTCCGTGCCGACTATCTTGCCGACTTCCTCGCCGGCCAGCTCGCCGACTCCCGCGCCGACCAGCTCGCCGACCCCCGCGCCGACTAGTTCGCCGATTGCCGCGCCGACCAGCTCACGGGCAGGAGTAGGGTTGGGAGGGGATGGCAGACATGATATGTTGGAGGCGAAGAAGAGGCAGGCGGAGGAAACGGATGAGACGGCCGAGGACGTCTTCAGACAACGCGCGCTAGCATAGCAGTCCAACATAGTTTTTTGAATAAATGAAGAACAAAAACTAGAATTTCAGTGCCATTTGTAGTGGCCTTCGGCCAGTGCCGCCGACCCGGGTCGCTAGGGGCGCCCCCCAGACTTGGCGGCGACAATTCGCCGACAGACGCGCGAACGCGCTCGCAGACGTTGCGCGCGCCCGCAGACGCGCGCACGCACCGCGCCCGCGCGCACATGCACGCACCACGCGCGCCGCGGAATCACACGCGCACACAAACGCACGCGCGCGCACGCACCGCGCGCGCACGCACGCGCGCGCGCACGCGCACGCACGCGCGCGCACGCGCGCACGCACGCATGCACGCACGCGCACACACACGCACACGCACACGCACGCCCACGCACACACGCGCACCCGCACGCGCCCGCGCGCGCCAGCACGCGCGCGCGCGCACCGAACGCGCCACGCACGCCGCACCACGCGCGCGCGCACGACGCACGCGCGCGCGCCATGACGCACGGCGCGCGCGCAGCGCAGCACGCACGCACGACAGCACGCACGCGCGCGCGGCACGCAACGCACACCCCGCACACCCACGCACCCACGCACACACGCACGCACACGCGCACGCACGCACATACGCAGGAACACACGCGCACGCACACGCACACGCACACGCACGCGCACACAGACGCGCGCGCGCACACGCAAGCGCACGCGCGCGCGCACACGCGCACGCACACGCACGCGCACACGTGCATTCACACGCACTCGCGCACGCGCATGCACACGCGCACGCGAACGCGCACGCACACGCACGCGCACACGCACACGCACGCGCGCGCACACGCGCGCGAGCACGCACGCATACGCACACGCACACGCACACGCACACGCACACACACAGCACACAACACACAACTCACAACCCACAACACACAACACACCCACACCCACACACACCCACACACACCCACCCACACACCCATTCACCCACCCACGCAGGCACGCACGCACGCACGCACGCACACACACCCACACCCACGCACGCAGGCACGCACGCACGCACGCACGCACGCGCGCGCACGCACACACGCACACGCACTCGCACAACCAAACACGCACGCGCACCTCGAGGACGCTGTGTTGTAGCACATGCAACCCACCACGCACACGCGCACGCACACGCAAACGCACGCGCACACGCACGCGCGCACGCACACGCACACGCACACGCACGCGCACACGCACACGCACACGCACACGCACACACACACACACACGCGCACGCGCACGCGCACGCGCACGCGCACGCGCAAGCGCACGCGCACGCGCACGCGCACGCGCACACGCGCGCACGCGCACGCGCACGCACGCGCACGCGTGCACGCACACGCACACGCACACGCACACGCACGCGCGCACGCGCACGCGCACGCGCACACGCATGCGCACATGCGCACGCACGCGCACACGCACACGCACACGCAAACACGCACACACGCAAACACGCACACACGCACACACGCACACACGCGCACGCGCCCACGCACGCACGCACGCACGCACGCACGCACGCACGCACGCAAAGCCGAACGCAACGCACGACGCACTCACGCACGCACCGCCGCGCGCGCACGCAACACAGCAACCACGCACGAACGCACGCACGCACGCGACGCACGGACAACACGCAACACACGCACACACGCACACACCACACAACGCACACACGCAACACGCACACACGCACACGCGCACACGCAACACGCCCAAACGCACCACGGACCGCAGCGCGCAACTGCGCGCTCCTGCGCGCGACGCGCACAACGCACACCACCCACCACGCATCCACTCGCACACACGCAACACGCACACAAACACGCACACACCACACACGCACACACGCACACACGCACACACGCACACCACGGACACACGCACGCACGCACGCACACTACGCACACACGCACACAACACGCCCAGACGACTCCACGATCAGTCTGAAAGTGAAACGCACACACGGCCACACACGCACACACGCCACAACCACAACACGCACACACGCACCTACTGCACTACACGCACACACACACACACCACACACCACACACGCACACACGCACACACGCACGCACGCCAACACGCACACACGCACCACAAAAAAAAACAGCACACACGCACACATACGACACACACCGCAACACTACGCGCACACGCACACACGCACAGCACGCACACAACGCACACACGCACACACGCACACACAAAGAAATACCGCACACGGACACGCACAGACGCACATAAAACGCAAGACCGCACACGCACACACGCACAAACAGCAGATAAACACCACACACGCAAGCACGGCACGCGCACACGCACGAGAAAACAACCGCCGTGGTCTGCTCAACACGCAGCACTACGCGCACGCGCGCACACGCGCACTACGCGCACCAACGAAACAAGCGCGTGCACGCGCACACG